TCGCTCGATTTTGTGTGCGTAGCATTGCGCGACTCACAGTCAGATCTGGTAACATTGTCTTACAATTGTTAGTGTCTTGCGCCAGCTCGCCAGCGACGCAAGCAGCTCTGTGAAGCTGACACCCCTAAATGCGAATTTTGATAAAATCTTTGCATTCGTTTGTCCACTGTTTGTCCACGTTTGTCCACCCGTTATTTTCGTTTGTCCACCCTCCAAAAAAAAGTTATAAACAAATTAAAGTTATCGTATTCGTCTTCGGACAAGTAAGTGCGTATATTTTATATTTATGCACATGAATCGTTTGTCCACCATGCCTACGCGTTTGTCCATCCGTTATTTTCGTTTGTCCACCCTCTAAAAAAAAGTTATAAACAAATTAAAGTTACAGTACATTCATCTTCGGACAAGTAAGTGCGTATATTTTATATTTATGCACAGGAATCGTTTGTCCACAACGCGTACGTGATTGTCCACCCATTATTTTCGTTTGTCCACCCTCCAAAAAAAAGTTATAAACAAATTAAAGTTACCGTATTCGTCTTCGGACAAGTAAGTGCGTATATTTTATATTTATGCACAGGAATCGTTTGTCCACCATGCCTACGCGTTTGTCCATCCGCACTTACTTGTCCGAAGACGAATACGGTAACTTTAATTTGTTTATAACTTTTTTTTGGAGGGTGGACAAACGAAAATAATGAGTGGACAATCACGTACGCGTTGTGGACAAACGATTCCCGTACATAATTATGAAAAATAATCACTTGGGGGTGCTACAATTTTTTTTGTTTATAACTTTTTTTGGAGGGTGGACAAACGAAAATTACGGGTGGACAAACGTGGACAAATAGTGGACAAACGAATGCAATAAAGATTTTACTAAAATTCGCATTTAGGGGTACCAGCTTCACAGAGCTGACGCTGCTTAATCGGCGGCTTAACCATCAAGCGGTGAGCGCCGCGAGTTGGGGGACAGTGGGCGACTCTCATCAACTGTCTCAGTCACAGTAGTAGGGGAGGCCAAGCGGGGATTTTGGGATTTACTCGAGCGCGTCAGAATAACATAAAGGGGGAAAGCTTGCACCCTAATAAGTACCCCCACCAAATATTAAACCTTTATATAGAGCCGGGGGTCCAGGGGATTAGTAAATAAAAAAAATCGATCGTTCGAAAACTCGAGCGCGTCAGATTAAGGTATGGTGTGTTAATTACATGTAGTAGTGTACATTTCAAAAATCTGACGCGCTCGAGGAAATTTTTTTTTCCCCTTTTTTTGACCCCTTCCTACAGCTAACCCCACCACGTAAACCGTCAGATTAATATTTATCCGTTATCAGAAACACATGGGTCGCTTACACTATTAATATCTGACACGCTCGAGTATTTCATTGTCACTGTGTTTTTTGAAAGCCTGTACACGCTCCCCCCACCACTGAAACGGCATACATCATATAACCTTTTTTTCTTTTTAGCATCTAATCTTCACAATCCAATAGGTCCCCACGTCGCTCGAGTAAATCCACATTTAGCCTCTCGGCCTACCCTACTACTGAACTGTAGTATAGTTCAGTGATCTCAGTTCATGTCGGATGATAGTCACGCGATGTGAGTCTAGCTAAAATTGACAAATTATGGCAGCCATACGTCCTTACTTTTTTTGGCTTTTCCTCGCATCAACAAGCGACACGTTTGGCTTTCTTCAAACATCTCCAATGTCCCAAAGATATTGAGAATATGATAGATTTCTATCAGGAGATGCGGTAGTGTTTCCGGCCATGTTAAAAAAACTACTAGTTAATTTAAAAGTTAGTTTAAAAGATTAATAATAGACACTACAAGTCGCTTATCCCGAGTCATCAAAGTCCATGGGAGGTGCATCTACTAAAATATAAAAAATTAAATATAAAATATAGAAAAATATTAAAAAATCGCACGTAATATGTCCTAAAAGGCGGCGTCGCCACGAGTAATTTGAGCTAAAAGAATTTAAATTCGGTCAAGCCGAGACGGAGACCGTCTCTAGCCTCGAACCGATCCGCGAGCCGCGAGCCGAGCCGCGAATCGCGAGCCGAGCTTCGAGCCGAACCGATCATATATGGCTCTCTTTCGATATATAATATTTTTAAATAATTTTTTTTATATATTTGTGATATATTATTTACTTTTCATGGTAATATATTATTATTAGATAAAAAGATCTAAAATTTTAAGGATCTCTTTTTGAACATGGCTTGACCTTTTCATTTTTATGATATGATATTTTTAGTATATAATATCTAAATCGCTAACACGCTATAGTTTCTTACAGGTCAGCAGAATACGAGAGACGTTATATTTATCCGTTCATCACATACATTACTTTATGAAGTAGTGTTAGTGTGTACATTTCACTTTGATTAGAGAACTCTAGCTTTGATTATAAGATTAAGGATTAGTTGTTCCACCTTTCGGTAAATTTTATATGTTAGGTAAATAACAAGATTACCCAATCACATGCGCGAATTGCCACATTTACCTTATAGGTAAAATTTACCGAAAGGTGGAACAACTAGCTCTAAGATATAGCATGCTATAGTCTAATCATGACTGGGTAAAGATGGCCGTCATCCCGTCCCTTGTCAAGTTGGCTTCACCTCATTTTACGAAGGTAGTAATCTAAATATTAACATATCACTTAATAAGTCCCGGTCCTGACATAATAGATGGCGCACTAATAACAAATCCATATAATTTTTAGAAAGTACTAAATAACCTTCGAACATATACGTGTCAAAATTTTAGCTCAATCGGACCTTTACTTTACAAGTTACAGTGGTTTAAGTGACGCTACTTTTGCATTTTTCAAAACAATGGAAAAATCTGAATTTCGTGTGTTGATAAAGTATTGCTTCCTGATGGAAAAAAATACCATTCAAGCAAAGCAATGGCTTGATAAGTGTTATTCGGACTCTGCTCCGTCGGAAACAATAGTTAAGAAGTGGAATGCTGACTTTAAACGCAGTCGTAAAAACACAAATGATGCTGAACGCTCTGGTCGCCCAAATTCGACAAAAGTAGCGTCACTTAACCATTGTAACTTGTAAAGTAAAGGTCCGATTGAGCTAAAATTTTGACACGTATGTTTGAAGGTTAGTACTTTCTAAAAATTATATGGATTTGTTATTATTAGTGCGCCACTTATTATGTCAGGCCCGGGACTTATTGAGTGATGTCTTATATAAAAGTTGTGTTGAAAATGGACTGCGCGATCTATATATCAAAATGGCCGATTAAAGGAAGAAAGAAGGACCATGGAGAGACAATCAATCCAGCAGGAAAACAATTGAACATCATGTGCCTTCGACTTTAGATACGAATTGCATAGTATACTTTTTGGATATTCCTACCTCCATGCGCAACTCTGATGTGGCCAAAAAATGCCATTACATAGAAGTGTTAAGCGTCGAGCCTTGAGCATTATAAGTTTATTATTCGCTAAAAACAGATCACGTGATCAAAATTGATGGATAGTAAGCTCACAATGCTTGATGCTCAATACTTGAGGCTGACGTCCCCACAGACATAAGAAACCATAGACCGAGCGTAAGCTGCTACTATAGACAAGGGGGATGTGATAACCGACAGGGGAAATATCGGACGAAGTCGGGTAAACTTCGGTTAGATTCGGAAATATTCGGCATGTGTCAGTATTTGAAAGTACAAAGGTTAGAAGCATCTGTCAGAAATAAAATAAAACATAAAATATAAAAAATATAAAATTAAAAAAAACACATAATTATAATAAGCATTTGTGATCTAGCTTTGACCGTTATTGGCTTCCTTTTTCTTGTTTGTTTATTCTTTATCAATTGTACGGAAGAGAGATTTAATATTTGTTCATTAAAACGTGTTTCTACAAAAATAATACAGATTTTTTTTATTCTCATTTATCACATATCATCACATTTGCATTATATTTACATTTATTTACAAAAAAAATAAACTCTTTTCTGTAACCTCGAACATACCCGAGCCGATCTACGGAAATAGCCGAATTCGTCCGCTGTTTCCCCTTACCCCGTTTATCGCATTACCCCGCAGGCTTACGCTCGGTCTATGGTTTCTTATGTCTATGGACGTCCCATGGAGCGGAAATCTACAGTAGAACGGAACAGTGAGACCAATCATGACTCAGCAATCATTACTCTGCTTTCATTTCTGCGACTGTGATTGGTCTGACTGTTCCATTCTACTGTAGATTTCCGCTCCATGGGATACCAGTCTGACGCTTCTATGTAAAAGTACATACCTAAAGAGCTTGCACACGTGATCCTAACGCATGCGCAATTCATCACAGCTGATATAACAGGCACCTGCTTTCGCAGGGTGCCGTCACATGCGACGTAACTTGCGTAAGCGGAACTTGCGTGAATCAATGAAATTGTATCAGGCATTAGTTTAGTTGAGATGATTTGATTGATTGACGTAAATTATGCTTACGCAAATTACGTCGCTTGCGATGGCATCCTCAGCTCTCAATATAACAACCGCTGAGCTGGCCTGTCAGCAAGAGCTCACTGAGCGGTCATCGTACTAAATGCACCCAACAAGCTCAGTAGATAACAAACTTTTACAATTAATACTTTGCTTCATAAAACAGTTCGAAATTTATATCAGATTCCTCGGTTAACTGATCTGGGTCGAGTTTGGATTGCTAACGTGAGAACTAAATATCGTTTATCTGAAAAAAGAAAAAAAGAAATGTTCTGATATATTAAATTAATTGTGTTGGTATTTCTACCTGTTAATCGGAATTGGTGAAAGAGGCCTTCACAAATCTTGATTTGCATTCATTATATTCGATTATTTATTTTCGATATATCGCTCTCGATAATTCTCGATATATCGCCCATCCGATATGACCGACTGAGTCACCATGTATGTACGTCCTACGTGTATACTTATCACATCCGTTAAACTCACCGCCATTTTGTGTAACGTTCTAGCTTGGTATGGCTGTGGCTGGGTGATCGCAGTGTTGTAGGCGAGTGTGATTCGTAAATAGTTTGGTGATTAAATTGCGTTCCATGTGAAACGATATATTGTACTCTTGCGAGAACATGCAATCGCAGGCATGTGCAATTAGTGATTTTGAAATCAACATAAATTATAACTGTTAATTTCCTTCCTGGTCAATAGTTCAACACGTTTACATTCAGGTACGGTATGTATGCATTGCTGTTCCAAGATTATTTTTTATTATTTCGTTTCAAATACAAATGTGATACATTATGCAAAATTTTTGCATGTATTTCATAATAAGAAACTATTTGTTTTTCAAAACACAAGAAAAATGTAAAAATTATATTGAATTCAATACATTGATACATATACTCCTATTGTATTCTATGTATATTATAGATTACTAAATTTTGAATCATCAATGTATTTGGTATTATGTATTTACATTGATCATGTTTTTCTTTGTATCATAAAAATTTGTCTTGTATTTTGTGCAATGTTAACATAATATTACATAGCTAATCTGTTAATTCTCTTATATTAAATTTTCTGTTTTTGAATTAAATTATATTTTTGTACAAATGTTGCATTTATTCAATAGATCTTAATATATCATTTACTATGTTACAGAAGGAAGCATCTTGATATGGCTCGAGTTCAACTATATGAAAGAGATGTGAGCGCTGTACTCATGTCTACAAATCTAGTAAGTGCTTGGTTTTGATACACATGACACATTTGATATTCTTCAATTATATAGTTCCTTCTCTTTTACTGTTTTTATTTTTTTCTTATCCTTTGAACTGAATCACCATCTTGTTGATTATTTTCCTTTTTCTATATTCTATAAGAAAGAAGTCTCTTCACATTCGATACATATACACACATGTATACACATGATTTATATGGATATGCATATTTGAGAATTTACATTAAATTAGGTTGTAACTTTATTAAAATAGTATATATTAATAGTTAATAATATGCCAAATAATATAACTGATAATTTTTTAAATGTTAAGTTAGATTTTAGATCATGAAGTCATTTTTTATTTTATATGGATAATATAATCTGATATATGTGCAATAATGCACATATTTTAGAAAATAAAATGATGATGCATTAAATCACCTGTGATTAATATATAGATATTAATTAAATTTGTTTTTCTACTTATTAGGTAACTAATATCTCATTGTTAGTTATTGGCATTTACCTACCTACAACATGATTTAATAGTCGGTATAGTAGGAAACATATGATAATGTTACATGTAGATTTCTGTTGTACCATTGCATCATGCAATTGTTAATCTTGAATAAGCAGTATTCGTAGTCCACTCTTATTCCAAGGCACTGAAATACTATTAAAGACCAATATATTCTTATTATGGGAATTCATGTCCCTCTATTGAAATTTAATTGAGAAGTAAGAAACTCTGATAATATAGTAGTAATTTTATGATTTATTAGTTTCATAGACATGTACATTTATTTCAAACTCAATAATATTCGATTTATATTTATAACTGTGACTTTATTATTGTCGGAATTTAATTATTAAAGGTGATAATTCCAGAGAAAAAAAATGTAATTTTGCGGCAATATATAAAGTATTATAGCATTATAATTATGCATACTTATTTATGAAGCATTTATATAACAAAAAAAATATGAATTTAATAATATATTATCGAAATGTTTATGTTTTAATAATCACAAATTTATATCAGTTATCTTCTGGTCCTCGGAGGCTTTTTTATAGAAACGAAAGATTATCTAGAGTTAATGGTCTTTAATAGCATCTTGTCGATGTTCAAGATTTTCTTAATGTTTGAAGAGCATACTATCAGCGCTATCATTGTATCAACTTGTATTATTCTACTTTTCACCAATATGCTCATATCATAACTCTTCTACTTATTCAAACAAACTCGTTGGAGTGATTAGGAGCGTTTAAGGCTCCTGAATACTGGCGGCGGCCATGTTGGAATTGTGACGTCATAGGCGAGAAAAACACATTAATTTTTCTTGCGTCCCATTTTTTAATAAAGACAATTTGGATAAATTTAAAAGGCGAGATCGCTCAAAAATACTTGTGAAAATTGGCGGAAACTGTCCTTTTCTCTTCTGATGGTCAGTAAATGGTCGTAAAAGGCACGTAAAGTGAGCCTATACTCGGGCAGAATCACACATTTTGACAGCTGATGAAACGAGTGAAATATTCGCTTTTACGTATAAAATTTCACGATAACTGCAGTTTCCGCCAATTTTTAGGACTTTCACGAGTACGAGGGAAGTCACATTTTCACAAATAAGCAAATATTGACAAAATGGCACGCAAGAAAAAATTTGTCGTCAAAACATCACTTTTTCACGCCTATTAGTTCAGACTTTTACCATGGCGAGGCGCTATACACACACACAAGCATGAACCCATGTCTGTGCGCTCCCCTTCTACCCGAAAATGAGCACACGGACATGAGCTTGCAATTGTGTGTATAACCAGTAGCGTACTACCAGTTTTGCTAGCCACCGACTGATTCGGTGTCGCTACCCATCAACACGGAGTTCTTGGCTGAGTATTCAGGAACCTTAAACACGCGAATAAACCTTTTATCGTTGCTTTCCTTTATTCAATCAATACTCCTATCTAATTCGATTACTATGGTTGATTCCAAAATTTACTACCAGTACTGAAAATATATAGGTTACGTCAAGTGCATTCTAAATTTTCGGGACAATTCCGTTTGTCTACATTCCCGATTGCACTCACATCGACCGGTACCTAATAACTTTTCTCTGCTTTATCAATGAGGTTATATTATTTTTAAATTGGCCAATCAGCGAGCAATGTGCAATCGTGCATGTAGGCAATCGGAACCTTCCTAAAGGACCCCGCACAAAATCATAGGGTTTTAGCCCTCGGTAAAATTGGGTAAAACTTTAATATATCATAATTCTTGACTCATTTATCAAAAGTATCCATAGGCACAAAGCTTGAAAATGACTAGTCTTTTTGTTGTAGTCATTTAAAGTTTTATTTTATTAATGCCTCAAAATCAGGTTTCTGTAATAAATCTTGAGATTTTAAATAACAATATGCTAACCACTCTCACCACCCTTATTCCCACTCCCACCCCCACTCCCATCCCTATTCCCATGCAAGAGGACTCACGAAAATCAAGCATCCCAAAGGAATGAAACGTCCGTCACGTCCACGTCGTTTATTCCGGATAATTCTGAGAACGCACGAAAATTTAAAATCATAAATGTACCATTGATGCATATACAACAGATGCGCCCGTGCGCGCACGCGCGCGCGCGCACACACACACACACACACACACACACACACACACACACGAAGCTTAGATTTTTATGCATCTTTTTCATATAAAAATGCGCGCGCGGACGTATGTGTGTTGGAATAGAGGTGGAGGTGGAGTGGGGATGGGAGTGAGAGTGTTGAGAGTGGTTAGCATATTCAGGGTTGCCACAAGTCAGGGAAGTCAGGGAAATGACAGGGAATTACAAATTGTTGGAAATTACATGAAAATTGCTAAGTATGTATCATTCGAGGTTAGGGAATATCTCGAAATTTTGTCAGTAACTCAGGGAAATGTCAGGGAATTTTATGATTACAATTTTGTGGTAATCCTGTAATGATTGTTCGTCTTTGTTTTCTTCTTTTATGGCACTACAGTCCAAATCGGGTTTTGGCCTCCCCTCCTCATCGGGAGATGAGGTTTTCGAAATAATGATTTTTCTGAAATTAGGTTGTGAGTCTAATGTCCAACCCTCAACTTAGGGAATCGATGCATATATATGTATCTATCATGTGCATAGGGAACCTACAGTTTTTAACGTCAGTTTCGAGCGATGATGGTAAATATTCTCTGAGTTTGCCATTGCCATCCGAGAGGTGGCGATCTAATTAAACTTTTGTGTTCTGGATGGATTTGAATCCTGAATCTTTATAGAAATCAGCCATGTTATGCTCTACGTCACAGTTATCACGTTTGTTCTTGTCTATAATGCACGTAATAGTTTGGAAGAGAGCCACAAAAACGTGTATTACCGTATGAGGTTTGGTACACGAAAAAAGCTAGGCAATGTGTTGTACACTAAATTTCTGTGTAGGTTTTATTCGATTGAGGCAATGTTCAGGCTCAAATTTCTCTGCTAAAAATTAATTTGAGATTTTGGGTGAAAAAAGAATTGAATTAATTTCATTGATCATTTGACTGAATTGTTTAAAAGTTTGTTCTTTCTCTTTCTGAGGTTTCGGACCGATTTCTAGCCCCATAGACATAAAACTTTAGGAGATCCTAAAGTCGTCTGTTTTACCAACTAATCGTGATTATTTTTCAGAATTTTATTTATTTAATTGTTTCGACATCTTGTTACGATGAAAATAAAAAAATTTATGAAATTTAAGTTTGTTTTACTAGATCTTGATCCAATATAGCGTTTAAAACTGTCAATTGCTGCCAATATTTGATTCATATAGTCCATAATGTATTTGTATAAAGAGAACGGCTTGGACTATGGATTACAGTATTGAGTTCTTAAAATTAGGACCTGAACATAGAAGTGACCGTAATTAAGTTGTGGAATGTAAATCATCAACACTCACAAGAGAAGTGGCCAAAGTGATAATCGCGAATTGATACAAAATATATATCGTTGGAAAGGTCTTGCCGAGTAGAGTATAACTGTGCAATATTTCGCTTGAATGGCGCCTCTAGAGGGCGTTATGTGCAATAGAAGTTATTCACACCTCCACCAACCTCGACCCATCGCACCCCCTCCCCCTCCCCACTCCTTCTTTTCGCCGTTTTTCACTTTCTTTCGTTATAATAATATTTTAAAATCATTTTTTTTTTTCATATATATTTTTTATATATCTGTACTATAAAAAATAAGTGATATCCTAAAAAAAATTATATCGTTAAAAATAAAAAGGTCAAGCCGTATTCAAAAAAGGATCCTCAAAAACCTTTAAAATTTTAGATGATTATCTAATAATAATATATAATATACGTAATAATACTCGAGCCGTGCGACATTTGGACCGCGCACGGGGCGGTGAGGGCGTTAAGCGGAAGGTTAAGGCGATTCGAAATTCGGCCGAAAGTTACATACATTTTATGTATGTTTACTTTGTACTGGCACCTTTATTAGTAACATATCAGTTACTTTTCATGGTAATATATTACTATTAGATAAAAAGATTTAAATTTTTGAGTATCCTTTTTGTTCTAATTATATTATAGGTACACACTGTATTCCTTCTACTGCACATAACAAAAAAAATTCACTTTGAGCTGGCACCTTTAATTAATAATATATCAGTTACTTTTAGTAGTAATATATTATATATATAATATTATTCAATACTATTCAATCAAACACCGGGACACGGGTCTTTTTTTTTCATCTCTAGAATCACCAAAAAAATTGCGTCAGCTAAATCTGGGGAGGGGGGGGGGGGAGAGAGAAGAGAGAGAGAGAGAGAGAGAAGTTTATAAAAACACTATTTTATTCAGAAAAAACTTAACAATACACAAACATTTTTTGTACGTCACTTGAGAGGTCTTCTCTGAATTCTGTTACTCAGTATAACCCCCATTTATTTCGATTCTTTACGTATAGCGCGAGTACGTTCTCTTTAACCATCTTTGTCTAAATTCATGAATGCTGTCTCAATAATGGTTTGAAGGGTTGCCACGTTGGGGAGTCTGAACTTGTTAGATACATTTCTAGTAATGCTCCAAATAAAATATTATAATCTAGGATGTTTAAACCTGGTCTGTTGGGAGATCAGAATTCTTTGGACCAAAACGCGTCCATGTAGGAAAACCAATTTTATACTAAATGGTCTGTGTGAGCTGATGCGCCGTTTTGTTGAGGAATGTACGGCCTTTCGTAATCGTAGATCGTAGTTTCCTTCAATAATTTCACTACAGTCCTCAAAATCTGCAACTAAACCTTCTTCGTGATGATTTCTTCTTTTTTAAAAGAATAAAGCGGCTTGATGTTACCCTTATTGGAAATGACACTTAGGACGTGAACATTCTGCCTCACCAGGTTAATATCACCTTCTATATACACGTTCCATACAAACATCTGATTTACTCGAGCGCCAACAGACATTTATTGCATAAAATCACACGTAAAGGAAAATTTAATTTTGTCGGGATTTAGTTGACGCACCTTAATCTCTAGTTCGAACAGTGTTGTCGGAACCAAAAAATAAATTGTACAATTAAAAATATACCAGATTAGATCAAAAGCTTTCAAAAAATTTTATTTATCTTTTATTTGCTGTCTGTTTTCTGCAATATAGTACCAAGATGCTAATATAATTAAAAATGTACCCAATTTAATACAATTGTACTAAATTTGACGATAAGTTCAGACAAAGTTTGTTTTATAAGTTTAAAGTATAAAATTTTTATATAAATTATATGTTGTTATAAGTAAACACTAGAAGTCGATAACGAAACTGTAATTTACCAATTTTTTCGTTTTTATATGAAATTTTTTATGATCGATATGAAATCAGGATTGCATTATTATGTAGTACGTGTGCTAATAAGAGCTGATAAGATTGATTATTATTTTCAAAAACTGCTATGGTATGAGAGGACAACCACTCTCAAATTTTGATGCACAGCGCGTCAGATAACATTTCTCGAAGTCCGATAAAGTTCGATACGATCAAACTGTACTAAACTAAAATCCAATGAAATCCGGCTACCTGATGAATTCTTCGAAGTCCGGTAAAATTCAACATAGTCCGATGAAGTCCATAACAATCCATGAAGTTTGATGAAATCCGGTGAAGTCTTTAGAAATTCAGGTGCATAACTCTTTTCTGAATAGATTACTACTCATACAGTACCTCATTTCCATATCAGGAAAATGGACAGTGCGCTAGTATAAGAGTTTCACAATAAGGCCGCTCTCAGGTTTCTCTCTGATGCCAGCATCTCTTCAAACTGTGCTAATAGTTATTATTATAGCTCAGACAGCACAAAATATTACAGGATAACGGAAAGGTATTTTTTTTGTAATCCTAATGGTTGGTTTTACGCGGCAATAGAAGGTCCTATTAATCTAAATTCCCGATTGCACATACCACTTATATCAGCCGGTGCCTAGTATTATAATTTTTCACTGTTTTACCAATGAAAATGTTTTATATTAAATTAACCAATTAGCGATATGCACAAGATGATGTGTAAAGCCTCTATACACAGAGTCTAGTCATAAGGTCAGTAAATAGATCTTGTTACTTCCTACTTTTGTCCTAGGTCCATTTGCAAAAAATAATTCTTTTGGTACCTCCGACAATCTCTGAAAGTTAATCTGTTGAATTTTCGAACACCTTGTATATAAAACTTTTTTTAGTGACACAGCAATCTGTCTAATATAGACATTAAGCAATAGTTGGGTCGGAACTAACTAAATAAGTAGGCAAGCATGGTATGAGTCCAGTGGCTCATCCATCATATATTTATTTCTTGTCGTTGATTAGATCTTAAGAAGCTTCCTTTCTCTTCAGTATGTGAAATATTTTTCTAGGTTCAATATTCAATAGTTGGGATTCATAGGCATTGGGATGAGCCTGTATACGATTTTGATATGCTTCAATTCTGGGTATCGATCATGAAACTTTTTCCCTAGGATGAAAAGTGAAAAGTGAAAAATTTCTCCATTAACTTCAATGATAAAAACTTTCACTTTTCACTTTTCATTCCAGGGAAAAAGTTTCATGATCGATACCCTGGTTTTAACTTCTTCTTTGACAATGGGAATGTTTAGGTCATGATTGAGTCTATTGTTACATATCATGGTGAATTGGTAATTATTTGAAGTATTTTTGATTAAAATCGTTGCAAGATCTCAATGTTCGAATTGGCAGTTGTGTTTCATAATTGCACTCCATATGTCCAGATAAGCGTAATAGTGCACTTATAAAGCAATATTTTCTTGAGAGAGTGTAAATTCCTACACATGAGCCAGTAAAGTTCTCTTAGCTGAGCTCCAATTGTTTTCCTCTTAGTGATGATATATGTTTGTCAAGTGAGTCGTCTATCCAAGTAAAATCCTAAATATTTAGCTTCATTAGCTTGAGGAATTTGTATATCGTTAAGATACACAGTTGGACAAGTTTTTCGTCTGGTGGTAAACGTCACAGATTTCGATTTGTCTGGTGGTAAACGTCACAGATTTGATTTAGCTTTGATTATCCAGTTTTTGAGCCATTTTAATATGTTGTTGAGACTTCTCTGTAAAATAGTACATAATGTTGGAATTATCTCAAAATTACAATTTTTTGCTCTTTAAAACCAAGTAATTTTTATTATTTAAAACATTTGTTCAAATAATGCATTTTTTCAAAAACATTTAAACCTATTTTCTATCGACACATCTCTTTTCCTCACCTCATCAAAGATACTAACAGCGCATGTTCATGTTTATTATATCCGTACGTTAATACTTAAGGAGGTTCGAGCGTTACTTTGGAATCAAAAATGCAACTGAAAAAAATTGTCATTATAGCACTTCAGAATCATGTGCAATGTTACTGTAACAAATTGTGGATATTATTTATGTGCTGTATTCTTAGTAAATTATTAGTGAATAGAATATTAACAAATGTATAAGATTGTCAACGACTCGAGAAATCGAGTATACACTTGGCAACGTTGCACTTCGCGACGTGACGGGTAGTGACTACTGAACTATACTAATGGAAAGCGCTCTGAGGCCATCCGCCTGAATAGACAGAGAGAGTCAGTTTAGGTTACTTTGTCCTTGTTGGCACAGTCTGAATCAAGAGTGTTTTCCATGCGTCCGCGCATTTCATTAACTAAACCGATTCACTTCTGAATCTTCGGATCAACAATACTTTTGATTCTGAATGTACGACAGTCGAATGTGCATGAAGGACAGCGATACCTAAAGTAGCTGTCTCTGTTTATTACGCCGTTTCAGAGAGCAGAGCGTTTTCCATTAGTATATAATTCAGTAGCAGTGACAGATTATGGCGATCATGGCGAGTTATAAGGGAGAAATACAGAATCGGTATAAAGACCGATTTTGTATAAAAAGGAAAATGGAATGGAGAGAGAATGTCATTGCTGCTTTTGTCGGCTTCGTATCAGCTGTGCACTGCAGCGTTGCCAAGTCTGTTACTATTATCTGTTACTACTAATATGATCCGTGAGGTAAAGATAAACTTTGTGACAATAAAACTTAAATCCATACGGTCAAATCCGATTGTCCTGTTTTGTACACAATTCAATAATCAACGTACGTAAATATCAACATATTTCATCTGTCAAATCCTAGTTTTTTAAAGTCCTAAATTTGCTGAGTGCGTATAAATCAATGATTATCTACTTTGAAACGACTGTCTCCCATAAGACGCTATGTTAAAATGGTCAATTTCAGAATGATATTACAAAAAAACTGTATGGTCAATATTGTTCAAATTGTGGAATTATTTGTATACAGTGTTTATCTACATTATATTAAAAAATAAGTCTCTAAATTGGATTTCGACTAACGCTCGAACCTCCTTAATTTGTAGAGCAGTTAATTAGAACAGAAAGAATACTTCTAAATTCATTCCACAAGGCATTGTTTGTGATGCTAAGACGTTTATTTACGTTATTAATAGTTACATTTTTTGTCTTTTTATATTTATATTTTCTTAAATTAGTTTTTTTTATATTTATGAGATTAAAAAAATTTTATTATCAAAGCAGATTTAGGAAGAACCATTGATAATATTGATTATGTGTTTTTCAGCTTGATATAGATATCCAAAATGGGATGAAGATTAAGGAAGAACCTATTGATACACCATCGAATTCTGATACAAACGAAGATGATACTATAGTTAAAAATCATTTTAGTTTAATTGATCATGATTATCATCATTATTGGGACAAATCATTATCTAACAATGATAATTCATGTCAAAGCATGAATGACACAAAAAACAGACATTCATCGAATGGTCATGATGCATATTCAAACGACGTAACTAATACTGTTAATACAGATCGTAAAAATGTAAAAACAAAGAAAGAAATAGATAATATCTCATCACGTTTTAAAAAACGAAAATATTCTAATGAAATTTTTAGCAATGAAGACACTAGTGCATTATGTTCAGTAACCGAAAATGTTACAGCAGAAAAAAAACAAAGCATTACATTACATTGTAAGACAAAAATACCACATAAGAAAAAATTAAAAAAGGAAGAATTTCCATGTGACATATGTTTTAGAAAATTTCCCTGTCTTCAACATCAGAAACTACATAAACAATATTACGAACTTGATAAAAGTAATAAGTGCAGGGCTTGTAATAAATATTTCGTAGCTAGTGATGAATCAAAGTCTTGTATGTGCTATATTAACATACGTGGACAGTTATCTTCATACAGTTGTAATTTTTGTAATCGTATTTTTAAGAATAAATTGCTTTTACAATCCCACTTATTTCACGGACATAATGATTTAATATGTGTTAATGACACTTTTAAACATGAAACTTTCAAATTCGAGATTATTAGCGCAAGTACATCTCTTAAAGATAATATTTTAAAAACTAATGCAAATGAATCATTATGTTCAAATTTTGTTCAATCAAAAAACATGAGTACTTCAACAGTACTTACAAATGATATAAATAAATCTCGTGATGGTAATGTAATGAATGCTGAAGAATCAAGAACTGCAAAATTATTCAATAATGAAATATCGCAAATTAAAAGGTTACGGCAACCAACATTAACGGAATATCTTGATCTTTGCAAAAAGAAACACGATATTAAATTTAATCCAAATAAATTAAATATTATGGAAGATGATTTTCCTACGTGCGCTTTGCATCATGATGATCAAATAGAAAAACTTTCAGAAGAACAAATTGGACAATGTAATTCCTCATCTACACAATTAGATAGTTTTTCAAAACAAACGGTATATTCTATTCAGAAACAAAGTACGAAACATGAAACGCATAAAAAGCCATTTGTAAAACTACATGCGGATGTTGAAATGATGAAGTCTTTTCTGGACAATCTTTCTGATGCGACTATCGAAGATAAAATAACTGAAGATAAAACAAGTAATATTATTTCATATGATCGTGGAATACCTTACTGTTTACGATCTTTAAATGGAGCCTCTTCTATGGAAGCAAGTTCTAATTTAAGAATAAGGAAAAGCAAAAGAGTATCTGAAAAGTTCCGATTTGATACAGAATTTAATATTAACAGGAAAGAAAATGTAAATGATTTAGAAAAGGTAACTTCTAAAGTGGATTGGAAAATTATTATGGCTCAGTTTAAATGCAAGAAGTGTACAATATCTTTAACAAGATGTGATGAACAACCAAGAAATTCTCATCAAATTTCTGCTTTTGAAGCTATGAAAAACACTTGTCTTACTCCTGAATGCAACGTTCAAGAAAATGATGTACAAAATGAAGTGAAGCTAAAAAATGTTGAGATTTCTTTGGAACGTTTAACAGTTCCAACTGTAAATATAAAAGAAAAAACATCAAATGTCGAGGAACACAATGACAATGATTTTTTGTGTAAAGTTTGTGACGAGAGATTCCCTTCAAAATTGGCCAAACGTATACATATTAAATCGTCTCATATAGCATACATGTCAAGCATATGTGGTGCACGTTATACGCTGAAGCATAAATTACTTCAGCATTATCTACACAAACATGTTTCTAAACATAACCAATGTTGTGTTTGTTATATGTTATTACCTGATTATAAAGCGTTGAAGCAACACTTAAATGGTCATTGTCTGAAGTATATTCAACGACAGGACGATCAATATTTATTAGATATTGAATTAGAATGTAATCTGACCAAAAAATCTAAAGATTTTCATTGTGACGAGACATTCTTGTCGCGAACATCTTTAAAGAAACATCAAAGTCGTACGGTACAAGAAGAAAATCAACAAAATTCCATGGAAGAAGATCATTCATATTCGAAGGATATTTTTGAAATAAAAACTGAGAAGACAGATGAAAATACACTTATATGTGATGAAGTAATTAATTCAGATGATTCGTGTAATCCGTTACATAACGATTATGTAAAAAAAACGAATGAACATCAAATATCACTTCATAGTGAAAAAGAACCGAAAATTAATGAAGTTAATGGAAACATTCTTGTTAATAATAACTTAATTAAGGAGGAAATCAAAACTGTTAACGAATCACAACACTCTGAAAAACTTTTAAAAAATGATTCCATAAAAAGTAATCAAGATGTCACGAATAAGCAAATGAGTGACATTACAACAAAAATTGTCAATTTTCCTTGCGATATATGTGGAAAGCAATTTCAAACTTCCAAGAATTTGGAGATACATATACGCAGTTTTAGTGTTACCTCAGATGTTTGTCCATTGTGTGGCACTGGATTTAGTTCTAAACGATTTTTGCAAACACATATCACTGCAGCGCACGTACCATATATTTCACAAACTTACAATTTCCATTGCGTATTCTGTAACCAAGGTTTTTCTAAAAAATATGATCTTCGGTCTCATATATTACACTTACATGGTCAACAAGTACTCAATTCGCTCACGCGCGATTCTAATAAAAATCAAGAGAAATCTAACGAATCAATTACCCATACCGCAATATGTAATGTTTGTAATTTGGTATTTGAAACTCATGATCGCTACGTTGAGCATCGAATGTACTATTACAAAAAACATATATTCACATGTTCATTCTGTGAACAAAACTTTCAAGGAATGTACATGTTTCATCATCATAATAAACTTAAACATTGTCCAGCGGATAAACGCAAGTCGTACAATTACATCTGCGACATATGTCATGAGGGATTCAATCATGAGTCACATTTTTATTCACACAATATGCATGTGCATTCGAATGAAGTGAATTTAGTTGAGACTGCTGAAGAATCTGAAGATATCAACAACAGAAGCCTGGATTATTCATTCAACGTCCCAAAACAGATTAGAAATTGTTCTACAGATCAAGGAAAACAAAATGAACACTTGTCCAATAAGTATACTTGTCAAATTTGTCAAATAAAATGTAAAAACATGGATCATTTCATAAAACACAAAGAATTTTATTCTAATGATGGCGATTTTAAATGTGACAAGTGTAATAGACGATGCAGAGCACTTGATTTTCTTAATCAACATAAGAAATTAACTCACTCTTGTTGGGATGTTGATAACGGACATTTATGTCAAATTTGTGGCGAAATTCTAGAAACTGCTATTTCGTTGAAATGTCACGAAAAACATTTCCACTCAAATATTACCAGCAATAATACGGATAATTGGAAGAACTGTAACCAGCTATTATCTTCAGATGTAATACAACCAGATAAATCTAAGAACAATACATGTAACATAACTGAATACAAGTGCTTATTTTGTGATATGAAGTTCTCTACTCCTAACACTGTCCAAACACATATTGTTCATGTTCATATGGATGATATGATAGCTGAACAAGCTGCTTTAAAACTTGCTCTTCCCATTATTAATAGCAATAGTATTCAGGAACCATTTGAAAATAGTCAAATACCATCAACATCGTCACTGTCATCGTCATCATCAACTGAAACTAAGTTACCTAATCTTCTTCAAAAACCGACGATTCAACCAGTTAATAACCCAATTACGATTCAACCAGTTAATAACCCAATTACGATTCAACCAGTTAATAACCCAATTATGATTCAACCAGTTAATAATCCAATTATGATTCAACCAGTTAATAACCCAATTACGGTTCAACCAATTAATAACCCAATTACTATGACTACAAATGGAAGAAACAATCAAACTGTTGAATTATTAAACTTTAAAAATATATATTCGAAAAATACAGTTATAGAGAAGGCAATTCCATATGTTAAAAAAGCTAATAGTAATCCATATTTTAAAAAAGCTAACAGTACTTCGACGCGTAGAATTTTTGCACCGAATATGAAATCAAAAACAAATGTCTCAGTACCTTCATCCGTTACAACTACATCTTCTAGGATTTTTGCACCAAATATTAAATATAAATATAGCACTCCAGTTTTATCTCATGAATCAACAATATATAAAACTGTATCCAATAATAAATCCAAAGATAACACTTCAATTCTACTTGGATCAATTAATAATCTCCAAAAAGATTATGAAATTTCTTTAAAGTCTGGTTTGACCAACGAGTTTAAAACTAATTCATTAGCGAAGGGATCTATAATAATTAATAAATCCAAATCAACACCTATTTTACCAACTAGTCCCTTACCAACATTAAAACGTGTTATGCCAAAATCTGGGAAAAGCAATGAAATTACAAATCAGAAATCTGAATCAGTGAACAGTCATGTCATTGATCATAGTTACTCATGCCCATTATGTCCGCTACAATACCCATCTTTGGTGTTCTTCCATGCACATCTCAAATATGCTCATGCAGACTCCATCGTTTCCATTCGAACTGATGAATTACGAACTAATGAACCTGTCCCACAGGTGAATGAATCTCAGAAAATCTCTATAATAAAATGTTTATTGTGTCCATGTACTTTCCCTAATGAGACTAAGTATAAGTGGCACTTGAGAAACTCTCATACATATTATATATATATCCCAAACTCACAGCAGACAAAAGTTAACAACGTATGTATTCCTCCAACACCGATAAACATTAACAAAAAAGGCACGGTTCTTGAAACAATTACTATAGATGATGGTGGTAATGTTAAGAATACATCAAATGAAGGAGCAGCCGAAGTTACAACACTTAATTACAAAGAACAGAATGATAAAATTGGTAAATTAAGAGTGAAACCTCTTGCAAAACTCATTGAAAATTTACCTATGGATTCTGCATCAAAATTCGTATAGATTGAACAAATCATTTTTATATCATATTTGCCATTAAAATACAGTTAAAAACGCATACATCAATTCATAAAATATTTCATAAATAATAAACTGTATAAGAATGCAAAAAAATGTTATTTCAGTTTTGATAATTTGTTACAGAAAGAGTTGAATGAGGGAAAGGAACTCTAATTTTTTGGTTGCAGTTTATATATATATATATATATATATAAAATTGTATACATGTATAAACTTTATTGTAACATGTGGACACTTATTATCCCTAATTAATACTAAATATTCTGATTAGTTAGCTATATTGATTCCGTTTTACCAAAACAAATGTATATACTTACTATTGAACAAATAGAAAATTAAATTATAAACAAATGCGAGAAAAGTAGGATAAGTTAGTTATTACCAATTTGTATAAAATTCTTTGAATAAAAAACTAGAGGTAATGCGTAAATGTATCACTCATTTGTTACACGATATAACGGAAAAATTGACATTTTTTTAGTTGCAAAAAAACAAATTTAAAAAAAAACATACTTTTATTTCTATCAGTTATTAGGCCAAAATTGAATTTCAAAATTATTACATAATTTCAATAATTTAAGACGCATTTTCTAAAAAATTTTATTTTTTGTTATATCGTTGTAGCAAATATAAGCATATTTAATCAAATAATATAAGTGCACATTAGGGTGTTATTTATTGTACTATTATAGTAATATAACAATTTTATGTTAATTAATAGATATTGTATTAATATAATATTGATAAGATATTAATCTCGATATTAATCTTACATTAATCACCGCCAAATATATCTAATTAATTATATATTGTAGTTAAGAAAATCCTAATGTTGTCTGTTTTACCGATTCAATAGAACTTACACATACAGTTTACGTATTATTGGCACATCTCTACATCAATATGCACATAGGTGTACAAATTTTTTAATTAATTTTTCATATTAGATATCTAAGTTTAATTTTATGAATAGTGTTTATTCGTGTAAGTTCTAGTCAAAACTGAAATTATTTTATTTATATGAAGTATAAAATTGTTCAGGAAGCAAATAATGTTATAAGTCAGTGTAATTAAATCAAGACTAGGAGCCGATAACGAAACTAATTTTCCAACATTTTTTGTTTTCGGTATAAAGTCAACTGATTTGAATAATATTACCGTTTATACTTTCATTGCAGAAAACGATTTTTAAATGTGCGTACATGTAAAGTGTTTATATGAAAGCAGTTAGAAAAATACTTATTAGAAAAATATTCGGTCAGAAAAACAGACGTCTTTAGGATTTCTTTAAATATTTTTTAAGTTTTTCGTACATATATATAAAAATAAGTAGGAATAATACAATTCTTTTTTGTAAGTAGCGCACGATATCTTTGTGTTTAAGCGTGTAAATATATTGTTGTATTACAACTAAATCGTGCTTATTACCAATTGTCTGTTTAAAAATTGCTATTAAAAATCAATAAAAACTAATTTTTATTTGTGAATTTTACTGTAATTTTTTAAATAATTTTATTGTAAAATCTTAATTCTCTGTTCTTCTTTTCTTTCGTTTCTTTTTATCCCTTCTTTCTTCTATTTTCTCTCTCTCTCTCTCCCATTTTTCAACTCTCTCCTTTCTTCAATTAGCTCTCTGTCTCCCTTCTTATCTCTATCTTCTTCTCCCTCTCTCCCTCCCTCCTTCTTTTCCTTTCTTCTTTTCTTTTCCTCCCTTCCCTTTTTTCGCATTCCTTCTTCAATTTTTCTTTACCTTCATTATAGACTATGTTTAAACGGACACCGTTAATCCAATTTAATAACATTCGTAGTTAGAAACTGGCCAATCAGTCATTCCATTTTTCAGAGAAATAGCTATGATTGGAGAGGTTTCATAAAAACTGCGCAGATGTTATTAAACCCGATTAAGGGTGTCCACGTAAATGTAGTCATAGTTTTGCATAAGATATTTAAAGATAATATCTGTTTAAGATTATTACTTCGGAAATATAATTGATTTATACCAAGTTTATTTAATTAAAGTTTTTGTATTATAGATATTGGTTATATTAACTCTCTCTTGATATTATGAGCGACATTTACATCTATAATTAAATTAAACAAGCTATGAACATATTTAGTCTATAATCAACAGTTACAATTTTTTAAAATGGAATAATGTAAAGGATATATATTATTTTTCAGTATAGCATTCTTATTTTAAATATCTTGGATAATAAAGAAAATGTATATTTAAAAATCTCTTCAAGAATCTATTTTAATTTATTTTGATTTATAAAATTACAAAATTTGTGAAATATATTGAATCAAGCTGGAATTATAATATACATGTACGGTAAAGAGAAACCGATTATCATTGTTTATTATTGATTATCATTGAATTTTAGATACACTATTTTGACTCCGACATTTTCACTATCCCTAGATTGTTTATATTCAACATAACCTTCATAGAAGTCTTATAATGGTGTCTTATAATTTGTAGATGCGCTTTCGATGGCCGCAAATTCATTCAGCCACACTCTATGCAATGTACATATGTTACGTGTATCAATTTGATTTCTTCAAAAAGAAAAAGAACGCAATGTTTCATGCCAATTTACAGATTGCAATTACTTCATGCGTGGCAATGTTAATCAATTAGTTTCCTCCTTTTAAATAATATTAGGGAAGATCATTATTTCAAATATATAAATTCTTAAAATATCATACAGTGGATTATTTGACTTATAGTACTTAATCTGCTCTTAATTTCAAATTTTGTTGTGAAGTTGGTTAAATTTATTTGTCTGATGCGCGCGCTTTGTTGAACAATAGTGTTGCATGGTTGAATCACATTCGCATACATTCACATAGAACACGTACAAGCGTTTCTATTCTAGTTTTTAATTTGCATCATAAACATCCATAATTAACTTCACGTCATAGGACAATCGTGCTAATAGGATTTGGTCACTGTAATTATGGCTGCTTTGTCGAGCTGCAATTTATTTACGAATCTGTTTGTCAGCTTTCAAAACGAGGTGCACTAGAAGATTAGTTCGCAATGTGATTAATCGATTTAATTCATTTTTAGCACACAAAATCCGAGAATTTAAAATCTGAAGAGAATTAAGTTGTGAATAGAATGATGGAAGTCTTTTAATAGTGTTCATACATTTTTGTAAATATATATTGAAGGTGTAAAAAATAATTTTAAAATATTTAAAAAATAATTTGATTATTTTCTAGTTACTAGTATTATATTGGAAAGTAAAAGTAATACAAAGATACGAACGTTAAAAAATTACTAAAGGTAATTTTGAAAAAATTTAACAAATAAAGATAAGGTTATTTTCTTACTAAAAATAGTAAAAGAAACGAATTTAAGATATATTCTTTTAAGTAAGACGATATATCGCAATGAAAAAAAATTCGTTTGCAAGAATAACGAGCACTAAGTACTCGAGTAAATTTAGGAGTCTGAATAGACAAGCGTTCTTATCAACGAATGCCAGGTTCCTCTACAAAAGTATCCCAAGTACAAGAATGGCTGTGCTTGTCTTCGACTTGGTCTAAAATTAGTAGTTAGTTAGGGGACTAGAGAAGTCTGTGGTTGTCAAGAAACGTATGGAAAGTTTTCGTCGGTTTGCTTCAAGTTTCGTAAAGGAAGGGATGTTTTAAATGGTATGTACATACAAGTACTGTACGCTGATATTCTGTTTTAAATAGTACTGTTTATTCAATTTTACTTTGTTATGACAAGCGCTTTTGAATTTAAAAGAAAATGCTGTGTGATGCATGGCATTTTTTAAATTGTTTTTTCCACAACCAAAGAATGGCTATTATTTAAAAAATCATGTAATGATAATTTAAGGATAAAGGATTAATATAGCAGAAAAGTAACTTTAAACTTGTAAGATGAAACAGAGTGTTGTTGTAGGAAAAAGGGTAAAGTATTCCGTTGATGGAATTCATTGTTTTGCTTATCGATAACATGTTTTTATGTAGATTGAATTGTAACGATTTAGACTATTTCATTGGATCCTACGATTAAGCCAAGATATGATTACATTTGTTGTCACAGAAAATATTTCAGAAAAATAGACCATTCTAAAATTTCTTTGCTTTTACAAATTACTAATTGATGATTTTACAAGTAGATTTTTTAAATATAACAAGATTTTTTTAAATATAGATCAATTAAATTTTATACTAAAAACAAGCAATTAAATTGTAATTGCGTTTCTAATCTGCAAAAGTTCATGCATTGAGATTATTTATTATTATATATATATAACTCTTAATCAGAAAACCAACTATAGAAATCGATCAATTTTATGAATATGTCCGATTACGCGTATGATATAATTGTCACATAGTTTGACTTCTTTTCAATATCGAAGAAAATATGTAGTTAAAGAATATTGTGTATGAAGAAAAAAACGGAACTAAAAAATCTCATTACGCAAGGAAGAAGTTCACAATCGTATTCTGGCATTTTTCATTCAAAGCACAGAGGAAAGCCGCGTTTTCTCCCGCGATTCGAAAAAGTAATTAAACCGGTTGTACGCTCAAACGACGTCATTATAATCTCCCGAGACGCGAAAAAGAAATTATAATAACGAAGCATAATAAGTTCGCCGGAGAATTAACAAGTGATATAGCATGATTCGTGTAATTGTCTGTTACAAGTTATTTTTTTCTTTATTCTATATATATGCGCAATGGACAATTATTTCATACGTATGTTTATTTAAATTTACTCATGTAAAAAGCAAAATTGATTACGAATGTTTTTATCGAAGTTGAGTAACGAAATATCTTTGAGATAAAACATATATATTATATATCCATAAATATAAGAACATAAGACCGTTTTATGTTCCCATTTTGGGCATGTTTAAGCAACTGAGTGGTAATTATTTCTTTTGTAAAAATTGGAGTCTACAAAAAACATCAGATGTGTATCCTTTATGATACAAACAAAGATAGATTATTAGAATATTTAAAATTGATATCTATATTTAAATTGACAATAAAAAAAAAGCTAGA